CGCGCGAGGTAACTTTATCCCGATTCTAAAAATAACTCGAGACGAATTACCTATGGAATAGGGTGTGTATGGAGGATGTCTTCTCTGTCCCCTTTATCCTCTCTTGCCATGAAATGTTTATTCACCTGAACAGAATAGCCTGAGTATCAGGTGTTTCTGGGGAAAAAGGGGAAAGATGGAAGCGAAAAAGGGACCCATCTAAAATCTCCTCTCCCCTAACCCTTAGGAAGGCCTTGATACTCAGGCTAGAACAGAACGGCGTCTTCTGCGACTGTTTCGCAAGCTTTCAACTCGCCAAAACCTTCATCTTAAAGCTGAAATGTTCAGCTTTCATTCGAAATACTTCGTTTGCCGATAGCTGAAAAGGGCGCCTCAAAAACTGAGTTTTTGTTTTAAGTGTCCGGATACTGGGCAACATACTGTACCGACAGGAAGCGAAGACTGTTACTTGTTACAGTAAGGCCCGGTAGCTCCCGGTGTAAACATCGCATTTCACATGTGCCAAATTTCATTCAGGTATTGAATGCGTAGAAAGTTCGGCGTTTAACTAAAATTAAATTCGACAACGCGCGAGACTTCTGTCGCATCTCCGACTGAGCCAGTCAAATCTCGACAGAAGTTCAACCGTTGTCTCTTGTGCCGAATTGAATTTTTAAATCATGTTTAATTTATTATGACCCACAATTCTCAATTTTTTCCCAACTCTATTAACGCTCGCTCATGATTCGACGTCTAAAATAGCGGATTTACTTATTTGAGTAGAACCAAACAGGTATCGGACTCGGCACATGTGAAATTTGACGTTTAAACCGGGCCTAACGAGATGCTATTTGCGCGATTACAGCGATTACCGTGTAGCATGAAAATTTTGAGGGTTCCAATTTTTGAGAATTTTGCGGATTGACCTCGATCCGCAAAAATTAACTCCCTTCAGTCAAATTAAAAACTCTACTTTTAATGGACTTGTTGTGTATGGTAGGGATAGGCTTTTGTTTTGTTTTGCTGTTGTTCAGTCCCTTTGTGCAGTAAGATATTACAGTGATTACCGTATTATTCTCCATTAAATATGTAAGTAAAGTGAACTTTGCCTCAACATACCGTAAAATAAAAGTTGAAAATACCATATTAAGGTTTCTTCCACTGAAATATTCTGCTACTTGAACAGGGAATCGCAAAAATTAGTTCCCTCCAGAATTTTCAGTCATCTTGAACCGCAAAAATTTGTTCCCGCAAACCACAAAAAATCGCCAATCCGCAAAATAAAACTCCCGCAAAATTTTCATGCTACACGGTAAACCTCCAATTTAAACTCTAAAGTTTCTTTGTTAAAAAGGAGTACAATTATTTAATAAATTGTCCAAAATATATAAATAAATCGACACTTCAAACAATTCGAGTCAAAATTCTTTCATTTTTTTTATTCAAGTAATTCTAGCATCTTCGGGAATTAAACGTCATCCCATTCCATTCCGATAATTCCTAGGGTATCATTTCGGGTCGCGTGTGAAAAAATTTGGGGATCATTTCGGGTCGTGTTTAGGTCGATTTTGGGAATCATTTGGGGTCGCTTACAATACATTTCAGTGAATATTTGATCAAGGGAGATGAAATTTAGTTCGAGTTGGCGGGGAATTCGAATTATTCGAGTCCGAGTTAACCGAGTAATAATGACTAAAAAATGTTCTGAAATCCAAGGGAAATTGGACTTAGTTCGAGTTAGAGGGGAGTTCGAGCTATCGGGGTTCTAGTGTAAGTTCGACGTTTGATTTAGACGTCGATCTTAATTAGTCGGACTCAATTCATTTTCACGATGTTCAATGGTCTAAAATGCTTACAAGTGACAATAATTTTTAGCAATTTGCACATTAGGTTGGACGTTTGAACCGAAGTCGCTCCACAGTCGAAATTCCCATGTGGGCCACTCGATCTTAATTCATGAAATTAGATATGTCGAACTTCAGTTAATTGATTCAAACGTAGGCTTTTGTACATTATGCTGGCATTTTTTCGAGCATTTTAGTGGCATTTTCCCCGGAAAATTAATTTTTCCGAGAAAATAAAATAGAAATTAACTTTTTTCAGGAGCCCATGCCCCATGAGCTCCTGCTTTTTTAAACAAAATGAAGACTAAAATTCAAAATTCACAAAAAACCTAATACAGCTGGTTTTTTTGGCTGTATTTATGAACTTGTACACGTTGTCGTTGTTACTTGCAACACTTGCACGTTTTTGTAAGTGTAAACTTTGAAATTAATTTTAAAAAAACCGTTTGTATAATTAACAATTATTCTTTGAAATCGAGGTGAATAGTGGCAAAATATTTACCGAGACGCGAAAGCGGCGAGGTAAATATTCCCAAAGCCACTATTCACCGAGATTGAAAAGAATAATTGTTTTAGTATATACACATGAAGTGATCTCAACAAAATCAGAGAGGAAACCATTCAAAAGTACGATTTGATTGACAGATCAAATCACGCGTAAGTTTAAAAATAGATCTTTGCAGAAATTTCAAACATGGCAATTCACAAGTTTATCATTTCGCAAACAACAGCGTAATGGCTTAAATGGAACCGCTAAAAGTTTGAACTGTTTCCTTACCTGAGAAGAAAAGTAGAGCTGCGTTGTTTTCTGTTGACTCGCCACGTTTATAGCCAAAAGGGTTTGTTGTGTCGTTCTTCGCATGAAGTGCTGACAAAAATGGCGGCTCATTTGCTCGAGGTAAGACGTCGTCTTTCTGTATCATTCTTTTTCCTGTTTACTTGAAACGTAGAATTTCTGCAAACATTTCCTTTTAAATTTGTTTGTCATAAATAAACTTCGATTTTTGAGCCAAAATTGTCTTCTTAGAAAACGGAAACGGCTTCTTCTACGCGAATACACGGGAGTTGTAAACAATCCATCGAGCACAAAACTCCTGCTACTACTGAGTGCTACAGTAAATTGAAAAACGCCGTATTGAATCCTTCCAAGTCTTTTCTTGCCTTAAAAAAAGTCAGCCCTAGGATTCTGTCGACTTTTAAAAGATCGTTCTCTAAAAAATGGGAAAAACACTGAGCTCACACATTATCCACTCGCTAGGAGGTGAATATTGTTGATTATTAAAAACTGAACATTGGATAATGCAATTCTAGCATTTTGATTGGCTTAGCCGTTATGGTATATGAGCTAATATACCATGTTCTCCATATATGGTCGGTGTACGCGTCAGTTTAAAATTGGAAGGTAGCTGAGATTTTTTTTCGCGAAGGATAGAACGGCGCCCGAAGCAAATCGTTTTAATTCATTTCTTAGAATACTATAAATGCAATTTCAACGAAAGAAAAAAGACAAAAACAAACAAAAAAGCCACAAGAGCTTGTTTGAAAGTTTGTCGAAAAACACATGAAAACACATGGAACTAAAGTACCTTGACAAGCTACGAAAGAAGACAAGTGTTGTTTCTTCATGATTGCGAAGCCATTCGCCGATCGAGTCACTCGCCGATAGATAACTGCAGCTTGTTTATCCGACATCAAGAATATAAATCACAAGTAACCAGCTACAAATACAGGCTATGCAGCCATTCACTAGAGCAATCGAGGCGGCAGTATAGCTTCTTTTCTCGTTCAGCAAAACCAGCGTGTGGCTTCAAACAACTTCATAACAGGCGACCGAGGTAATACCGGTAGTTTTTCTCCGTTGTTATTACTTTTACAACTGCACCGAAAATCCAAATTCATAGTAATTTCGACGGCTGTCACTTAAAAATTCCTTTCCTTCACATTATCTGCCAGGTTTTTTAAGCTGTTCTGCTTTGTAAAATCCTAGAATCACGATGATTTTTTAAAAAACTAATGTTCATCGCTACAATGTTTTGATTTTTCATTCATGCAGTCTAGGCGAGTCCGTTCGCGCGTTGACAGTTTTGATAGACGTGTGACATGTCAATAGCGGAAGTCCCTTGTCTTTTCCGGTTTGTTCTAGTTGGGGCGATTCAACGAGATTTTGTGGGCGTTTTTAATAAAACAATTATTCCACTCGGGCTTGTTGGATATGAAATGATTATAGCCAACTCGGCGCTATGCGCCTCGTTGGCTATCTATCATCTCATATCCAACGCGCCCTCGTGGAATAATTGTTAAATAGTCCGAGATAGCGAACCAATCAGATTGCTTAAATCACCAAGATCACTGAGTGTGTATATACTAATCAGCATTATCCGAGAATTTTAGTGACTTTTTTGGGGAGACCGAGCATTTTAGTAGGAAAAATGGAGCATTAAGGTGGAGCATTTTAGTAGGGAAGCAAAAGCATAATGTACAAAAGCCTATTCAAACGTCGATCTTTTCATGTACTTAATAGAAGGGATTTGAATTCACGTCACAGACATGATCGGCCACTCACGCATCGAGCCGTCTCGCGGGTAGGCTTTTGTACATTATGCGAGCATTTTTTCGAGCATTTTAGTGAGGCAAAAGCATTGAGCATTATTCGAGCATTTTAGTGGCATTTTTTTTCCGAGAAAATAAAATAGAAATTAACTTTTTTCAGAAGCCCATGCCCTATGAGCTCCTGCTTTTTTAAACAAAATGAAGACTAAAATTCAAAATTCACAAAAAACCTAATAAGGCTGGTTTTTTTTACTGTATTTATGAACTTGTACACGTTGTCGTTGTTACTTGCAACACTTGCACGTTTAAGTGTAAACTTTGAAATTAATTTTAAAAAACCGTTTGTATAATGAGCATTATCCGAGCATTTTAGTGGGAAAAATGGAGCATTAAGGTGGAGCATTTTAGTAGGGAAGCAAAAGCATAATGTACGAAAGCCTACTCGCGGGGCGAGGAAAGCATGCTTATTTCCCGAGAGGCACCGCAAGCTCATTTCGCTAGCAATCAAGGCCTCATATTGGCATTCACAAGAGAGAAGTTTCAAATACACACTTTTCTCAATTACTGAGCGCAGCCCTCAAATATGAGAAGCATTAACAAGGCATGCAGAATTATTTTTTTAATACA